TAAACATCAAAATGTACTCCCAGCAAACAATAACAAACTAAAATAAATTTTAAAAAGTAAAATTTTAAGTTAACTACTTGTTTGGTACTAGGATTTGAACCTAGAACTTCACACTTGCTAGGCAGGTAGACCACCATTTGGATCATACCCCCTTTTACCTTTTAGTTATTTTTCAGATCTGGTTTCACTTTTTGCTCGGAGCCAGGCTTGGACCACAGTGTTTCTCCCTAAAATGCTCATCCAGCTGTAATTACACATATGCACCATCATGCCCCATCTCATTTGTTGAGATGGAGTCTTGTTAACTGTTTATTTCTGGTGGTCTCAAACCTCAATTCTCCTGATCTTTGCCTCCCTCCGTGGTAGCTGGGATTACATATTAATCTATCAATTACTTGCTCTGAAACATTAGGTGATTATAGTTGACTATTCTTCTTATGTTTACTTAGTGGATAGAAATGATGTTATAATTTACAACTGTAACAACCAAGTTTCCCTACTTTTTAAAATTTCTACAGACTCAGTGCTCCCTGTCAGAACATTCGCTGCACCTTCTCCATGTCACAGTGGTGTTTATTTTCTACAGTATTAGAAAGAACCCTATATAGCCACACACTATGTATAACGAATAGTTCTATAAAATCTTTGTAATAGGAACTTTGATTCCATCCTGTTTGATTTAATTTTATAATTAGGTACTGCATTTTCAAGAAATTCTTATTGGGATTATATTTCCTGTGTAGTTGTTTGTATTGCAATGTATTGCCTTTCTACTTTAAATGTAATTTAGTTTGGCAAAAAAATCTTGAATCAAACTTCATTCTTTGAGATTTTGTACCATTGTTTCTATTGAATGCTATGGAAATATTCAACTATCCAATATTTTCTTCCCCCATTCATGATTTCATTTGTCTTTCTGAATACCTATAAGATTTCTCTTTTTAATCTAAAGAAACCTCACCAGGAAAATTTACAGTATTCAAAATTTTGTTTCAAAATATCCTGGAACTTGCTGTGTCCATACATGAAGGAGAGAGAGCTCTCAGATCTCCTCTTATAAGGGCATTGATTCTGTGAGGTCAGGCTTCATATGACATTATTTAATCTTAATTGTCTCCACAAAGAACTTCTCTCTAAGTACAGGTATGTTGGCGGCTGGCCTCAACATGTGAATTTTGGAGAGGAGGCATAAATATTCAGTCTATAACATGTGTATAGATATATTCATCTCATTTTTCTTTTTCACTTCATGTTGTGTGTTTCTCCGCAATCTTAGCCTCCTGCTTAGCAAGGATGACAGGCATGTGTCACCATGCCCAACTATTGGTTGACATGGTGTCTCACAAACGTTTTGCCCAAGTGGCCTTGAACTATGATTCTCCAGATCTCGGCCTCTAAATTAGCTAGGATAACAAGTGTGAGCCATCACCATTGGACACACTTTAGTTTCTTATAACAACATAGTTTTTCTTTAGCTCATACATAACTATTATTTTACCATTTATTTCTGAGTATAAAATGTACACTTATTGTTTTAAAATATTTTACCTTTGTGAAATGGAATATATTTATTAACATCTGGAAAATTCGTTCAAATTATAATATGCCTTTATTACAGATCAACCATAAGAGGCAGCCAATTAATCCAGTGCTAAATAACTTTACTTAAGAACTTTGAGTATGCCTTAAGTATCCATGTATGTCAAATGACTAACATTCTTGATTTTTATTCATCTCAATGAAATGAATTTGGAGATCAAATGATATCACTTCATACAACAATGTGAAGCATTGCCAAGTGTTATAAAATCAACTGGACACCAATGCAAGAAGACAGGGCATTGGGTTAGGAATTGCACAAAGTGACTAAGCTATACTTAGAATGACTTGTCCTCTGTATTTTTCATGTTTGTCTTCTGTCTATAGCTGCACGTTTTTAGGCATTTTTGAGAAACATAGATTCATAGCATTTACAGACACCCACTGTGCAATCTATTTTCAGTAACAGTTGGTTTCCAAAATGAACTGGCAACGAGGCATATCACAGTAGTGTTTTTTTTTTTTTTTTTGGTATTAGAAATACCTGGCTTTCAAACAGAAAATAAAAAACATTATACCCAGAATGCTTTTGACAACTCTTTAACTGCTATTACTCCAAAAAAAAAAAAAAAGAGAGAGAGAGAGAACAAAATGTGTTTTGAATAATTTAGTAGTGCTAAAATGTCACATTTTTAGGATATTTATTTAATGGATTTCCTGAATATCCAAGCCAAACACTTCTCTGGAATTTAAAAAGTTATATGCTTACATTCTTAAATAAACATTAAATGTCTTCCTCTTTGAATAAAAGTTGCTATAACAACTAGACAAGGCTCGGGCTACTGAAGTCAAATACCAATCTCTGGTCTTTAACTTTTCAGTGTTTTCAAAGCATGATACTGGTTTGAACAGCTCTGACTTAATTTTTTTTATTGTGTATTTTCGAGGCATGATGGTTTATATCTGTAATCCTAGCTACTGTGGAGCCTAAAGAATTGAGGCTCAAGACTTGCCCCAACAAAACCTACCTGGCAAATAATTAAAAGCCAAAACGGGCTAAAGGCATGGCTCAATTGGTAGAACACCTGCCTAACAAGCTCAAGACCCTGAATCCAAACCTCAGTACTCCCAAAAACATAAAACTAAAGGCTTATTTTTACACACCCATATCAACAATACACATTGCAATTAGACAAGGTCATGTATGTTATATTTCCAGATTACTCGTTGTTTTAATACAATGATATTTGTATTCTGTATTATGAGTTCAAGACCGTTTTTTAATTAATTATAGAAATTCAGGGATAAAGAAAAATATAATCATCATTTTCATAAATGTTGATTTCAGCAGATATACTTAACTCTGTTCTTTAAGTTCATAATTTTATGAGTTAGTAATTATATAAGAATTGGACAGCATCACAGAATCTGTTACACAGCTTGCCTATAGATGATATCTTTGACTTCAGTGTTGCTAAACTCTGTAATAATATTAGCCAAAGAGATGAAAAATTTTGTTATTGAAACTTCTTGAGCAGTTTCTTCAAAGTAATCCTTTCATGTCACTCATTAAAAAGTTAAATGGCTCATTATCATTTATTATTCAGACCTGATGATTTCTGGCAAGTTACACAATCTTCCATTTCTGCTGTGTGATTACCTACAATACAAGATTGAATGAAAGATGTTCGTTATTCACACCTATAAATCTGTCCAAGTTGACTTATACAACGTGGCCAAAGGTTGGTTTCAAATAAGCAAAATGTGGTTTTGAGTTAGAACTCTCCTAGTTGGCAACAACCGAAAATGATTTAAAAGTAAGAGAAACTGGACAAGTGCAAGTGCAACAGCAATTCAAATTTAGATGAAATAGATCAGAGGCTGGCTTTTTCTTTTCAGCGTTAGTGGTTGGCTCTGTTCTTATCTCTGTGTTAGCTTTATTTTCATCAGAGTTTACTCTTGATAGCAAAATAGTCAAAGTCTCACACATATACATCTCAGGAATCACAATAAGAGAAATTATCTTCTCTTCACCTTAACTCGGATGTCTCACCAACTGGTCCTTCTTAAGTTTGTACATACAGCACATCAACTACTGTGACTGGTAGAATGACAGGTACACATGGCTTATACCAATGTCAAGGTATAAAAATCCAGTGGTGAAACACAAGACAGCAAGGAGGATTGAATTCACATTGGAAACACACCCACATGCTTTTGTCTTCATAGAACCCAATCAGTGTCATGGTGTCCTGGCAGGGAGGGCTGGAAACCTATTTCCCTTGGGCTGCACTGCATTTTATTCCTTCATCCTTTACTGCTGTTGTCTTTATCTGAAGACTTCTTGTCTTTCATTGTGGGCAACACATCATTTGTACATGACAACCAGAGTTAAATTAGAAGTTTACCTAGAATCTTAATTAAAGATGAAAAGATAAACTTACTGTTAGCATTTACTCATCGTTCTCAAGAATTAGATTCAGGGTCCCATTCTTTCCTTTAGTCATGAGGCAAAAATCCCTTTAGAATATTTTCTCTTTTCTGTAAACCAGCATGCATATTTGTGAAGAATGTGGGATATAAGTTACTTATTTTGAATGAATTTCAAAAATACTTGCATTTTATTCCACTATTTCTTAGCCTTCTATCTAGTCACTACTCAAATTGATAAGCAAACATGTATTTCATGGCGAAAATATTGCAATCAGAATTATCCCTTAATCATATGATTTAATCTCTTCATTGAATGAAAAACATGGAAAAATAAATTCTTTGTGAACGGCACCATGGTGATTCCAATAATGAGAATGCAAAGTACAATTTACCAACACACATTAACTCGAAATTTGTGTTATCTGAATTTCTAGGGCCACTAATTAAACAGGTCCTGATCTAACCTTACTTTTAAAGAAATTTGAATTTATTACCATCCAATAGTATTACAGCTTAGATTTTCAGGAAATATTTCTAAAAGAGACCTTTTTTTGTTTAGGCAGCAATTTGATCTCTAACACTACTATAGCAAAAATAAAGAACATACATCACTGGAACACAAAATATACATTTGCTTATCAGTTTTCTATATTTAACAGTTCATCCAAAAGATGTCAATTATCTTATATATCATTAATGTAAATCTACATACGTATGTATATTCATCTGAATTCAGTTCTTTAGAAATTACTTAAGCCATTTAGCTATTTTGAAGACACTAGTACTTCTAATTTAATATTTTTCTTTTCTTTTTAGTTTTTGAGACAGTCATGCTACTCTGGTCTTATATTCACAATCCTCCTGCCACAGCCTCCTGAGTGCTGGATAACTGGCATGCACAACCGTGCCCACCCTTCAACAGCATTTCTTTTATTTTTGGTGGGACTGGGGTTGTCAATGGGATTTTTAAAAAGTATTTCAGGGAAAATAGATCAGTTCTTAATGTCCATTATTCTCCATTATTTCAGGAGGACACAGATCACAATTACTATATATCTCGGATATATGGTCCATCTGATTCTGCCAGTCGGGATTTGTGGGTGAACATAGACCAAATGGAAAAAGACAAGGTGAAGATTCATGGAATATTGTCCAACACTCACCGGCAAGCTGCAGTAAGTGCTTTGACATTTAAAATTTCTTTTTTTTTTCCACTGTAAGAAAATTGTTGGATTAATTGGCAAATAGTCTTGTCTGATGACTTTCCAAGTATATTCATTTTAAATGAATATAAAACATTAAAGAAAATGAGGGAGCTGTTTTGATAAACCACCCTTAATTGAACTAATTTCCTTATTATGTCTGAGTTATATTGTTAATTCAAACTTGAGAATCATCTTGGATTATTTTCAGTTTTGCAATCCATGAGGTTGAAAAATATTTAAAAAGATTACTTGACTTTGGTGTCTTTCATTTGGCATGGATTTACTGTCCTTTGTATATACATGGAATTTCCTAAATCAGGAAATCAACTTGCAATAGTTAAATGGAAATTAATTCTAGTTCAACGTGATGAGTCATTGAATTTTCAGTGTCAAGATTTTTGTTTGTTGAGTTTGAGAAACAATGTCCCTATCTCTTCTTCCTGAGTTCTGTCATCCCTTTTCATTTCTATATCTAGGAAACACCAGGCCAAGCAGGGGAAAAGAAAATGAAAAAGATTAGATTAGGAAAATGTCTATCTGGAATTTATTGTGTTTGACAGTCTTCCAATACTTCAGAGAAGTTTGAGTGTTGGTGTACTTACATGGGGATTCCAAGAAGAGGCCCAGTCCTGGTGTCAGTCATTGTGGGTGACACAGAGAAAGAAGCTTATCAGTTAAAGCAATGTCTCATTTCTTCTTATTCACAAGGATGACAGCCATCTGTGTTCTGTGCTCTCCCAAAACTGCCACAGTCTGTGCATCCTGTCCCTGCTTGAAGAGGGATTAATTGGTTGTCTGGTAACATCAGCTCTGTGTTAGTCTCATGACAAATATTGTTGCTGCTGGGGATCCATTTTTTTCTTGTTGTGTGTGTGGGAGTGGATTGTTGTTCCCAGTACTTGAGGATGACCTAAACATAAATGGAGGACCTGCTGTTCTGTACATAACATACACAGTGCTCCCTACATTGGATTTTAAATGTTTATAGTTGTGAAAGGCTTTCTTTTAGCTACTCTGCCATTTTCATAGCTTGGTTTCTTGAGTTTTCATGAGTATTGAAGCCAAGTTTTTAGACTTAGAAATTTGCTATGTTTCTACTTTGCTATCAGCACCAACAGTAGCACACAAATATACCAAATGCACACACTAACACATACACACAGTCCATTGACAAGCACACACCATGCACATATACACAGGCACACGAGGCACACCTCTATTTATAACAAGAAGATTGAAAAAATACTTATTTTCCTCTTTTACAGAGAGGTTTGCCACTTGGATGAATTCATTTAAATAAATCTTATATCTTGAAAATTATAAATATACTTAATGAAATTGTTTTTAAACTCCTAAAAAAGTCCTTCCTTTATGAGAATGATTTAGTCTGTACTTTACAAATTATATGTATGTATTTCCTTGATTGACCTCCCCACCTTTACAATCTTGCCTGGTTCTCCAATCCATTTCCATTGTTCCTTCCTCAAAACAAAATCAGGCTGCTAGAGATGATGACAGAATTATAATATTAAGGTAATATTATGACAAAGAGTTCTCAGTGATGCTTCCCTCACTCTTCCCACAACTCACACAGCACACACCACACACACACACCCCACATGTACCATCGGTACTCTTCCCTTTGAAGTTATTGAGAGGTTTAGAAACAGGGAAAAATGGCAAATGGGAAACACGGATCCACTTAACCAGTGAGCTTTGCTGAGGTCCTAGTGCACATTATCCTTGATGCAAAGCTTTTTGTTAATTTGCCTGGAAACAGGATTTAAATTTAAGCCCTAAGGGAAAGAGGGTGAATTTCTCCAATTTTATCACCAATTGATGCAATTTGCATGCTCAAGGGTATGCATTCTGTCAACAAATTAGATCAGAAAAAGCAAAGAAAGATCTAGCTCAGGAAAGACCCAGGGCAGCTAACTAATCCTGCTCTGTGTAAGCAAGACAAGTGGAATATCAGCAGCTTCTCAGAAAGGGGAAGAGAAGGAAACAGGAGAATATCTTACCTGGGAAAATAACTTTTTAAAGAAACATTTCCCCTCCACTGCCACCACCTATAAATGTGACCCAAATAGTAATATAGAGTCTTAGATCAATATTCCAGAAAAAGAAGAAAGGTAAAAATAGGTAAGAATTGTCATTATTCTCTCACCAGCAATATCATTTCAGAACCAAGCAAAACTTATGAATCATTTAGTTCTCATGCTTGACATGCCAAAGCACACTGGTTTCTCTTTCTTTACTTTTACCATCCAAATAATAATCCTTACTATTTATATTATGTATGTGCATCCTGGAATTCCATTTCAAGTTCATTCAAATCTCTCCATTGTTCTTTTGTTTAAATAACTTTCTTAAGTCATAATTTAAGCAATAAGGAAAGGTGGATGCTCTCTTGCAGTTGACAAATTAAAGTAAGGAGCATGACTTCCTAGTACCAAGGAGTGAAAATTTTGCATAAGTGTCTACCATATGGTGTCAATGAGGATGGCACATTCTATGAAAATTCTTATAGTTATTTGGGTACTTTTTCCTTTATTCAAAGTCACAAAGTTATCAGGTTGCAGATCTAGATGTTTCTGACTATAAATCTAGAAACCAGCCTGGACTTGTTTCTTTTCCTCTATGTGGACCTTTCACATTTATGCGATTTTCTTGTATACTTCTCTATTCATCTTACTTAACTTACTTTTGGGCACAAAGTTCAATTCAACAACCAGAAATTTTAGAATTATATGTCTTCTGAAACCACAGATAACATTCTGATTTGCAGCTCCTAGAGAAGTGTTTCTATCCTTATGAAAGGAGTCTGGGTTCAGAAGTTACAAGACCTTGGTTCCAACACTCATTTTCTTGAATTCTGGCCTCAGTACATCTTCATATTGCAACTTGAAAGAGGTTAAAAATGCCTGTCTTGACTATCATTCCCTCATTCCATGCTACTTTGACAATAAAAATGAAATGATGATGAAAAGGCACTGAAAATCTTAAAAGAATAATGATATGATATTAAAAGAATAATGAGCATTGTTATTTGAATATGTTAATTACTTACAACAAAAATAACCTGTGTCAAAGAAAAACCAGAGCCTGAAAGAAGGTGAAATGGCAAAAACAGGTTTTATTCAGGACTGTTGCAGTAGGGATAAAGAGATCTTGGCTTAGGGCTGGGCTCAATTCTGAATATAGCATTCATAAGTAGAGATTGTAGCCAAGGAGTGGAGGGGGTTGTCAATGGATAGAAAAGTACTAGAAGGAAGCATCAGGTGTGGGAGGGGATTCTGCCTAAACTGACCTAAAGGGTTCTTGCTGAATGCAGTCCATGGTAATCAGATATCACCTGGGATATGGTAAAGAATGAGGAGCTTGATCAGATATTGAAGGTGAGGGTTTCTTGCTAAACTGACTAAGCAGGAGTGTTGTTGATGTTAAAACTCAATTTTATCTGAAAGAGAACAGATGGGCCTAGCAGAAGATTCAGTACCTAACTAAAGTTTGGTCAAGCAAAGAATTTTCATCAGAAGGTTATCAGGTATCAAAAATAGGGATGCTTGCTGAAATGAATCGGCAGGGTTTTTGCTGAAATTGAGTGATACAATGATAGACACAGAAATTCAAAGGCCGGGGGTTTGTGAAGACAGTGTCTTGGAGAGGTCTGACTAAAATGTGGTCAAAGAGAACATCTAGATAGATTGATGGGTAGATAGAAAAATAGATGATAGATAGATCGAACGATCAACAGATCTAGATGGATAGATTGGTTAGGTGAATGGATGATGATACAAGTGTTGGATGGGTAAATGATAGGTATGGTTCATATAGATAATATAGACTTGTATCTATATTCCATCTCTCGATATATTTTATTGGCAAAGCACTTACCAATGTGTTGTTTGCTAGACATCATAAACTATGACTTACAAAATTGTTTTATCTTTTATAAGTCAATAGGAAGATTGATTTTTTAAATAGCAATGGCAAAATTGAAGCGTTTGGAGTACTGATCTTTGTCTCACTTTCTCTGTCTTAATGTAGGTAATATTTTTGATGAACCTGGTATGAATTTTTATTTTTGATGTGATGATTATTTAAAATTTTTAAATTGCCCTTGATGGAGTTCTCTGACAAGTTGGATATACATATAAACCATCATTACAAAAACGGACTTTGCTAGAGAGTTTTTTTTTCTGTAGGAAAATACTTAATGCTTTTATTAGCGTTTCTCTTAGTCCTACTTACATTTGTGTAATGCTTATGTTAGCAGAGGTAAATTGAACGGCCTATGTGACCATGTTGCAACATTTCATTTTTTCCTGTGCATCAAAAAATGTAGGAATATGTGCTTTTTCTAAATGATTAACTTGAAAGTCAATTTAATTTGTTTTATCTGTTAGTCTATTATGCAGACTATAAACTTTTGTTGGAGTTCTGTTCATAGTGTCTAACATAGGTTGTATTTATTTATCTTTATTTTTGACAGCTTGGATAAGCTTCCTGCATTCTCTTTGGACTAGCTTAACTTCAAGTAAAATATACACTTTTCATCAACCTGCCTTTACTTGCCTTCATTCATAAGATTTTCTTCTACTTTAACAGTGGACTGAGATGAGTTGTATCTGTATGTGTCTCTATCAGTTAATTTGGTTCAATTGAGTCCTTACATGTATAAAGAAAGAATCAGCTTTCTGTTACTGTAACAAAATAACTGAGGTAACCAACTTACAAAGAGAAAAGGCTGATTTGGCTCATGGTCTCAGAGATTTCAGTCCATGCTCAGTTGGCCCTGTTGGTTTTTCCTCTATGGAAGAAACTGCTCATCTCATAGGGTCAGGAAGTAAAAAAAAAAAAGAAAGAAGGGACTCTAGAGTTCCATTATTCCTTTTGAGGGCACACCTACAATCAACTAAAAATCCGAATAGGTCCCAATTCTTAAAGGTTAATGTCATGTCCCAAAA